TATGTTATGGAGGGCTGAGATTTATAGCAACTATTAAAGCCTGTGCACTTAGAGCCTGTGCTCTGCAACAAAAGAAGCCACCGCGATGAGGAACCTGCAAACTGCAACTCGAGAAAGCCTGTGTGCAGCAAAGAAGACCCAGTGCAGTCAGAGACAAAGCAGCATGTACATGTAAAAAAACCCCAAACCAACAAATGCAAACAGTGATTAAACAACCAACATGCCATCTAATAATTGGTAGTGAGTAACTTTCTACCAAGATTTCACACTTAACGGCTGGGACAGTGCTAGCTATACAACAGATTTTAAGTAAAAGTCTGGGGAGGATTTAACATTATATTGAATTTAATGTTTAGACACATCAGATGAACTTCCTGTGATTTATCATTTCACTCTGGGGTCAGAATATTTTAGAAAGAGTAAGTCAGTGATCTGCATACAGGGAGTGCCAAATGAATGAATGAATGAATGACCCAGTTTCTTAAAAAAGGTAAATTTGAGTTATACTATTTATCATATCAAAAGCTTATTAGATGGGTACTATAGTTGAACAACACAGGTTTGAACTGAGCAGGTCCACTTACACAGATTTTTTTTTTTTCATGAAATACTACAGTACTTACACCATCTGTGGATGGTTGAATCCACAGACTACTGAACCTCAGATAAGGTGCACTGACAGTAAAGTTATATGTGGATTTTGGACTGCACAGAGGGTCAGTGTCCTGAACCCCTGTGCGGTTGAAGCGTCAGTTGCATTTGCATCTCCACTCAACAGATGAGGGAAGCCACAGGGCTTCCCTGGTGGCTCAGGTGATAAAAAATCTGCCTGCAATGCAGGAGACCTGGGTTGGATCCCTGGGTTGGGCAGAGCCAGGTGGGCTACAGTCCATGAGGTCGCAAAAAGTTGGACACTACTGAGTGACTTTCAACAGATGAATACTTTGAGGTTTTGAGTTGTTCAGAGACTTGCCCAAGGTCATGCTGCCAGACAGAAGTAAATACAGGATTCAAATCCAGGGAGTTTGATTCCAATAACTCTTAATATTATGTTGTGCTGCCCCTGCTAAGGGCAATTCCAGATGAAACTGGCTTTAGATGACTCTCCAGATACTTGACTGGCATTCAGTATTTTTGTTGGGTCTCTTCCTTGTCATTTGGTTTTTCATGTTTTGGATCTATTTAGTTTTTTTTCTGATTACTTTTGAGCACTGGAAGGTTAGTCTGTTCTCATAAATGTAGTATGTTCATTTTCCTTCTCAGTTGCAAGGCTCATTGAAAAATTAGGTGGGATAGACAGTTTTCTGGGAAGACTGATTTTAAGTGGTCTGAGGAAAGTGTGCCTGTCCACAAAATCTCCCCCATTGTTTTACAATGTTTAAACATTGTTTCATGATGTTTAAAATTCCAGTAACATGGTTTTATTGCTTGGCTTCAAGTCATATCCTCTGTCCAAATTCAAATACACCAGGGACAGGTAAGTAACACTGTAAGCCAAGCAGCCTGCCACCCCTGGCTGTCATCTTTCCATCCATCCTTTTCTTCAATAAATATTTTGGAGACAGACTCTAGCTGAGTAATGGCTATTGAGATCAAGTGTAAAGTAAGTGGTCTCTGCCCTCAGAAAGGTCTTGTTTCTGAAAGGAGATGGATGTCAGAGAAACACATTTGTTTTAGATACTATGATGGAGGCATTTATGAGGTATAGGGAAACTCCAAAGGGGATAAATATACTCTACTTGGAAAGATGAGTGTAGATATGCCTTAAGCTTGAAGTCCTTCACACTTTAGTAAGAATAAATTGTAAAGACTGTTTTCCAGGAGGTATATTTTAGTGACGGGAGAAAGAGTCTGGAGTGAGTGTGAATTCACTGGAATGTTACACACAGACAGAGGAAACAACAGTGAGAAAGAAATTCCATAAAGAAAAGCTTGGAATCCAAGTCCTAACACTGAGCTTATTTCAGAACTGAGAGTGGATTGGGCCCTTCTCACTTACAGAGCCTGCCCAATTGTCAGGCTATGTGCTAAGAATTTGTAATAAAAGAAAAATTAGTTTTTCAAAAGGGCTACAAGCAAAGAAAACATTTCTATGATTGACTGATGGCCACAGAAGCAAGCATTTCTTAACTGAATATACCAGGGTCAGCAAACCTTTTTTTATAAAGTGCAAGACAGTAAATATTTTAGGCTTTGTGAGCCATATGTTCCCTGTAGTGGTTACTCAATTCTGTGGTTACAGTGTGAAAGCAGTCATGGACAGTATTTAAATGAATATGTGTGGCTGTGCTCCAATACAACTTTATTTACAAAAACAGGTGGTGGGTTGAAGTTCTGCCATAGTTTGCTAGACCCTGGTTTATATCATTTCAAAGGCATAATAAAAGCCCAAGTTAAAGTATGTTTTAAATAAAGTTTCAATAAGTTTTTGGAGGTGAGGGCCCCTCAGTTCCCTCAATGGGCAGCAGGGTCTCATGTGAAGAGCCCTTTACCTTACACTGTCTGACAGCATGGCCTGGGAAGTAGTCCCTAGAACAAATGACAGGAATGAGAGAGAGCGCAAAAGACAGGCAGGCAGAGGATCTTTGTGCCAAAAATGGCTAGCTATTTACCAAAAACTCATGCTGTCAGTGAATTTTTTGGTTTAAAAAGCTACAGACTGAGGGGCCTGTGGCTGATGCAAAATTATCTTACTAGTAATGCTTGAATATTTATTAAACATATGAGTAGTTTACAGTAACTTACTCTTTCATTTATTCATTCAAACATTGCCTACTACATGCCAAGTACTGTACTAAGTCCTGAAGAAACAATGTTGAATAATTCTGGGTCATCACCATATAGCAAGGTGTCCGAAATACTTCATCTTTGATTACCTGTTGTGACTCTCTGTAACTTTTCACTATTTTGTATGTGATGGTGACATATTGAAACTCACCCTTTATAAGGTCTCAAGCCCTCTGACCAAGTTTTCCCTTTGAATCACTGAAGACTATTTCTGTTACTGCCTCACAAAGATTCTGCAGGTTCACAGTAATAGTTACCTGCACATCAGGTTTTGCAAATAGTTTGGTGCACCCCATCAATTAGCCTCTGGGTCTACTAACTCCACGTTACATGCAAAGTTGGACAGACTTTACTTGGTCTAGGAAGCATTCCTTGATTAAAGACTCTCAGACATAGATCTCCATCCATTATACCTTCTCTAGTTAACTACCCACTCACAGTCTCTACTCAAATGTTCCATAGGTCCTCAAGTTCAACATGTTCAAACTTTCATCCCACCCACCCACATCGCTTTCTCCCCTCCAAGGTTGCCTATATCAGTGAATGGAGCCACCTGCCACCCAACAGTGCAAGCCAGAAGCTTGGAAGTCATTCTTGACAACTTCCTCCCCCTCACCCCTTGTGGTCTACTATTCACAAATGCTAGGTGGTGGTATCTCCTAATAATATCCTGAACTGAGATATTTCTTTCTAACTCCACTGCCTTTAACAGAGCCTAACCCTCCAACCTCTCATATCTGAATATTCTAATTGTTCTGCTAGAGTCCACTCTCATCTAAATCTCATGTCTACCCTATATCCATCTGATCATATCAATCCATTCAGTGGTTTCACGCTGTTCTTAGGGTAAGGAACAAATTCTCTAAATACCCTATTAGACTCTGCATGATTGACTCTAATCAACATCATCTTTCCCTGAAACTATTCTCTTTTCACTTTCTCTGACACGTCTGAATTAGGTATCATTTTAGAGCTTAATTCTGGTCTGCAACTGTAGAGGATTTCCATTAACAGTCCCTTTCTTCACCAACCCTTGCATCCATATAGTTTGCCACATAATACTGGTGACACATAATTTCTTGCCCGTGAGTTCAGGTATGTGACTTGCTTCGATCAGCAGAATTAGACAAGAGACAGAGCCCAGGGTCCAAGAGGCCTTTCATGTTTCCACTTACCCCTTGAACCTCCCCCTTCAACATAAGAACATGCCCAGGGCAGCAATTTGGTCCCATGAAAAGATGAGGGACACATGGAGTGAACTACCCAGCTGAGTTCAGGCTAGATCAACTGACCCTCAATTAACACACAGATTTATAAGAAACAATAGCTAGTTGCTGTTTTAAGGCACTCAAGTTCCAGCTGGTTTGTTACATAGCAATAACTAGTTGACATTAACATAATACTTCGCATTTGCCTATGGCTTTGTAAATATTCTCTACCTAAGATACATTTAGGCCAACTAGCGTTAAAATTTACAAGTTAAAATCAACAAAGATTGCACAGATGGATATCTTGCTTGAGGATTGAGGGCCAGTAATAAAACAATGGATAATTCCCTGAGGATGGCTTTCCAAATGAAATGAAGGCTTTCCCACCAATCTTACAAATTGGGTGGATGAAACTGGGCTTGAATTTTTCCCTTTCTACCACAGAAGCTCTTCATCCCTGAAAAGAAATGGCAAATCCACTGGCACAGCTGGGCAACCAAGCTGAAAGTCAGAGTTGGTTTCTGAAGTGACACAATCTACCTGCATTCTAGATAAAAGCCTAGTCTGTTGTTACAGGCATATTAAAGGTTGCCCTAGATTTAAACAGCACATCTTGTTCCTTTTATCCTTGTCCTCCGAATTTCTCTTTAAAAAACTGCTGAATGTTTCTGGCCTTTACATCTTCTCTACCTGACAAGAACTATTACTTGGATGTTAATTAAACCACAAGGCCAAGTCATTGACTACTGAAAATGAAAACCATGGCCACTTGTGGCTGTCATACCCTACCCACAAATACCCCAGCCACAGCAAAATGCTGGGCTCTTAAAGGAGACTCTGGAAATTGATACTGTTTCACCCATAATATGAAGAGTGACTCAGGGGCTGTAAAACAAAAGTACCCTGATTAATACACCATTGGGTCTGCTATGTCACAACAGAAGATGTAAAAAGTAAAAAGTCAACAGTTTTCATAGCACTGGAGAAAAGTAAAGACACACATACCTGTACTGATGCAATTCTTCTCTCTGAAATAAATTTGAAAAATACACGTTTTAGTCTTGCTCAAACCCATCCAAAATTCCAAAGCAGACATCTTGAAGGGAGAGGTCATGAACTTCCCCAGTTATTAACGTTTTGGAGTTTTCTTTCTTTGGGGAGAAAGTTAGAACATTAGAAATTTGAATAATTTGTTCTTTCTGCCCTTTTAAACCAGCCAAGCCTGGTGGTCTTCACACAGCCTGGACTTGCAAGAGAGCCACCTTTACTCTCTAATGACTGAATGACCATTTCTAATTCGGGTCCTTTCTTCAAGTGCCTTCAAGGATACTGAAGGAGAAAGTGAGCTCGACCTCCGTCTCCTGCCCCAAACCGGTGCACCCGTTCCTTTTACCTGACAGCCAGCTGTCCTAAAGACTCTGTGTTCCCCCAGCTCTATGACTTCCTGCGTTGGCTCCCTCAAGGAGGCGCCGCGGCCTTGCCCCCCATCCTCGCACGTTTGGCAACCTGAAGACCTAGTATGCTTTGCATTCACCAAGTGAGAGGCAAGAGTAACGCTGTGTTACCTGAGGCCCGGGAGGTCCCGGGGTGTGGCTGGGGGCTGGGTGGTCTCCTCTCCGCGGAAAGGAGGCCTGAGGAAGCGACCCCTCCTCGAGGTGCTGAGGCACGGGAACGGCACGCTCTTCACCGGGCCCCATTTGGAGCTCAGCCGAGTCAGCTGCGTCGAGGGCCCTTTCAGAGTCCAGAGGCAATCCTGAGTGGAGTCTCAGGGCCCACAGGCCGTGAGAAGACTCCTCTGCGCTTTCACACACCTTGTTGGTGAGGGGACTCGCGGAGCCAGGAGACTCCTGAGAGCCGCCCCCGGGGCGCACTTCCAAGGCCACGTGCGGGGGCGGCGCATGCGCAGTGGCAGTGCCGCGCGCACCTCCGCGCACACTCCCGCAGCCGCGGCTCCTTAACCTCCGCAAAGTGGGCGAGGTGGACAAGCGGCCAGGGGCTTGCCGGTCAAAGTGGAGGAGATTCCCCTGGCTCTGACAGTGCTTCTTCGACAGGCTTTCCAGGGAGTACGGAGGAGAGGCCTCGCAGCCTTCAGGCTGCACCTCTGGGCGGCATGGCTCCATCTTCTCCAGGCCACTAAGAGGCTGGAAACTTCCAGCAGATGTCGGCAGAGTTGCTCTTCTCCTGACCACACGGGGGTGGTTCCGTTTCCGTCTTCAGATGCCTCTGTTCCTCAGTGTGTTTCCATCCTTTTTCAGAGGATAATTGCAAGCAAGTGGCTGATCATTAAGGGAGAGCAGAGTGCGGAATCTACTGCAAACAAGGAGATGCAGGTGAAAAAAAAGGTGTCTGAAATTTCCCATAGAAGCTTCTAGTAAGTCAGAGGAGCTAACGAATGCAACTTAACATTAGCCTTCCAATCTATAAATTGTTTATGTTTTGAAATTTGTTTGTTTCCAAATTAAGTCGTTTGGACCCTGCTCCCTGCCCCCTTAAGGGAGGGTTCTTTTCTTTTTTTTCCATTGGGGTTCCAGTAGGTGAATAAGAAACTCAAGCTGAGATGGACAAAGCGCAAGCTTTACTCAGTGGCCAAAGAATGACTAAGCAGAAATTGTGTTCAAAAATCAATTTCTGGCCCTGCAGGTGGGCGACAGTGATTTAAAGAATAAAAAAAAAAAAAAGAATAAAAACAAAGGGAGGAGGAGTGAGGCTAATAATAGGGACACTTATGCATTAGTTTGGAGGAGGAAATGGCAAGCCACTCCAGTATTCTTGCTTGGAGAATCCCAGGGACAGGGGAGCCTGGTGGGCTGCTGTCTATGGGGTCGCGACAGAGTCGGATACGACTGAAGCGACTTAGCAGCAGCAGTATCAGCTTGCATTAGTTTACCCTGAAGAGTCAGGCCTTTTTCCAAGGGAGTGGGGTGCCACCCCCTTTTTATCCTTTTTTTGATCTTTACTGTCTGGTCCTAGCAGCCAGTAGGTGTGTCATATACTAAGCTAATGTAAAATCGACGTATGAGACTCAAGACCTGTTGGAGGTCAGATTCATGCCATCTTAGTCCCAGCTGGTTCCATCTGCTTTCTTGTTTGTATCTTCCTTTCTTATCTCTGGACCCTTTAACTTAAACCTGTGTGTTCACTCCTGCTAAAGGCAGTGTGGAGTGAGTTGGCAGGCTTTGACCTAGGACACTCCTCCTGTACAATGGCCACTGATGTGGTGGTGGTAGTGGTTTAGTCCCTAAGTTGTGTCCGACTCTTTGCGACCCCATGGACTGTAACCCACCAGGCTCCTCTGTCCATGGCATTTCCCAAGCAGGAATACTGCAGTGGGTTGCCCTTTCCTCCTCCAGGGTCTTCCAGACCCAGGGATCAAACCTGAGTCTCCTGCATTTCAGTGTTACCACTGAGCCACCAGGGAAACCCCCATCAGTTGTTTAGGGGGTCATAATGTCAGGCTCTCCTAATTTCTTTAATTTTGTTATTTATTTATTGGGCATGGGTTTTGAGCAAAGACCTGGAACAGCCTTGGCAACATTTATTGTTCAGTAAAGAAGTCGCCTGCGGTGCAGGAACTGCAGGAGCCTCTGGTACTATCCCTGGGTTAGGAAGATCCTTGGAGGAGGGCATGGCAACCCACTCCAGTATTCTTGGCTGGAGAATTCCATGGACACATGAGCCTGGCAGGCTACAGGCCATGGGGATATGAAGAGTGGGATGGGACTGAGGTGACTTAGCATGCATACACTTTTTTCTTAATATCCCTTCTAGATTCAAACAAAAAACTTTTAAAAACCTTGGTGATCTAAGTGATTAAGAGACTTCTTAGAAGCCACAAAGCTCATCACCTTTTATTTTAAGAGAATCAAATATACATTCCATTTTCCTTATATTCTGCATTTATGTATGTATGATTGTATATATGTATGTGCTTTGGCATATACCAGGGATGTAAGAATAAGAAAAACAAGGCCCTTTCCCTCAAGGTTTAAACTACAAAATGAGACATGAGTTCAAAGACAGTGATGCAAAGTATTTGGCAAAACACATTTTAGATTTTATCCATCCCCATGTTTTGGAAAAATAACTTGCAAATTTGAAAAGAAAAACCCAGATGTCACTCAGATGCTCTGCCATGATTAGAGGTGCTTTCTATGGTTCACTAATGCAGAATTACCTCCTGTCTGTTCCTGTGTTCAAGCAAATCTGATTCTTTCATTTGCCAACTTGATTCATGGTGACATGCAAATGACTTACTGCTATTTCATTATTTTGTAGTTTTCTGTATGAAAAAAGTAGTTTCCTGTGGAAAAGCATCAATCCGTACCCATCTATCAACTATTACTTAAGGGTCAACTCCTGATTATTTACACGTCTGATGTGGGACTGTGGAAAGATAATATAACCATCTTCCCTTGCCATGGGCAACGTGGGAAATGGTTCCAGATGATACATGGCTTGTTGGTTGAGGAACATCAGTAGTTGACCACATATTCTGAGATTTCCAATAATAACTTCAGCAAGTCTGTAATCCTTTATTCTGTTGGTTGCACCATGTGGCTTGTGGTATCTCAGCTCCTGGACCAGGGATTGAATCCACATCACAGCAGTGAAACCACAGGATCCTAACCACTGGGCCATCAGGGATCTCCCAGCAAGTCTGTAATTCTAAAGCAATCTGTAACCCCTCAGGAATGGACAGCCCAATTTTAGGGATAGCTAATTTGTTCTTTTAGTGCTGTATAATTTTAATTGCATTGACAATACTTTTTAGTAGAACTTTTTCTACTGTGTATTATTTACATCCTCAATTTGATAATAGAGAATACTGCTACTGCTAAATCACTTCAGTCATGTCTGACTCTGTGCTACCCCATCCCTCGGATTCTCCAGGCAAGAACACTGGAGTGGTTTGCCATTTCCTTCTCCAATGCATAAAAGTGAAAAGTGAAAGTGAAGTCGCTCAGTCGTGTCCGACTCTTAGCGACCCTATGGACTGCAGCCCACCAGGCTCCTCCGTCCATGGGATTTTCCATGCAAGAGTACTGGAGTGGAGTGCCATTGCCTTCTCTGAATAGAGAATATTGGATACCGGTAAATTCTTGATGACCTGTCCTATGTTGATTGTCACTCATGAGGTTAGCTAACATGCACTATTATGACTGTTGACTGTAGTTCTATGGAAACGACAGTAATTGCTGCAGGTTTTTATAGCATACGATTGTTTACCCCATATGAAATGGCCTCACACTGATGCACTCCCAAATTTTTAGTCATTCATTCTAATTATAGTTTTGTACTTGCCTATGGCAGGTTCTTTCATTCCTTTGTTTCTTCTAATCTGTTTCAGGCATAGAAGTCCAATAATCTTGTGTCAAGAGAATTAATAGGCTCTTAGATTTACTCTTATCAGTAAACGGGAGGAGCCCAGCATCATGATATTGTTGTGACAATGCTGTGACATTGATTTAGGGGGACTCTGTTCTCTTACATTTATTCCCTGGCTCTCCTCTGGTTTAAAGCCAAGTGAAACTACCAGATACTGGATTTTACACTGGAGAGTTGTTTAAGAAACTACTTAATACCAGCTGAAGTTAATAGACTCTTATCTACAAAAGAAACCTGAGATTCTTAATGCTGGGTTTGCTTTAACTGACTGCCACACACTCAAAATGTTAACATTTTGAGCTGAGTTTCAAATGTTAACAGAGCTTCACATGTAGAACAAAAATGCATGAGCTACCCTTATTTGGGGGGCAAAGGGAGAGTAATACCTGCTAGGAAACTTCACATTCTAGTTACGGTGAGGTTGAATTGGTTTTGATTTTAGAGTTTAGGTACTTTCTGGGTGATACCATCTTCTTCATAGAAGAATGATTACTAATGAAAACAGGTATATTAGGTCTCTCTTCAGGTTCTTTACTGGAGGTCCAGTTCCTCATTCTCCTGACAAAAGGCTGAGCTGAGGGCTGGAGTTACAGGTACTCTACACATGTGCACAATTGGGGGATTATATTGTTTCTCAACAAAGCACTGTTCTAATTCCAGGCAGCAACACAGCTAAAGGAGTTCATAATGTTTACATAGGCGCTTGCATAATAGTTCTCTCAGAATTCTCAGTCCTTGGGTTTCTTGTATCTTCTTTCTTCTCCTTAGAGGGGTTAGGACATTGCTTCAGATTGCCTTCTAATTGTCCTGACTTAGGGTGTGGCAGTCAGTATGTGGTTATTATATCCAAGAGTCATTCAGTTCAGTTTCTCAGTCGTGTCAAACTCTTTGTGACTCCATGGACTGCAGCACGCCAAGCTTCCCTGTCCATCACCAACTCCTGGAGCTTACTCAAACGCATGTCCATCGAATCGGTGATGTCATCCAACTATCTCATCCTTTCATCCCCTTCTCCTGCCTTCAATCTTTCCCAGCATCCAACATCTTTCCCAATGAGTCAGATCTTCACACCAGGTGGCCAAAGCATTGGAGCTTCAGCTTCAGCCTCAGTCCTTCCAATGAATATTCAGGACTGATTTCCTTTAGGATTGACTGGTTTGATCTCCTTCCTTTCCAAGGGACTCTCAAGCGTCTTCTCCAGCACCACAGTTCAAAAGCATCAATTCTTCAGCGCTCAGCTTTCTTTATAGTCCAATTCTTACATCCATACATGACTACTGGAAAAACCGTGGATTTGACTAGATGGACCTTTGTTGGCAAGGTAATGTCTCTGCTTTGTAATACGCTGTCTAGGTTTGTCATAGCTTTTCTTCCAAGGAGCAAGCGTCTTTTAATTCTTGGCTGCGGTCACCATCTGCAGTGATTTTTGAGCCCCGGGAAATAAAGTCTCTCAATGTTTCCATTGTTTCCAAGGGTCATTAAGTACTATTTACTGGCCAGTGTCTCAAATATTGGAACCAAGACAGTAGTAACTGCTGACATCCCTCACTGTGGAACTGAAGAAACTTTTGCTACAACAGAGCTTTGGGAGGCCATTGCTGAGAAGGGGAGCCCAGGCTCTAGAGTTAACCATCTGCTGGCTGTCTCTGCCTAAGCACCAGCTAGCCCTGTGACCTGGGACAAGCCCCTCTGCCTGAGCCAGCCTCCAGGCCACATTTATGAAAGGATAATAAAG